CATCCTCATCCCCCAATTCCTCCAATCCCTCACAACCCTGCCCCCAAAACCCCTGCCCACTTCCATAACTTCCGGCGATTGCCCCGCAGCCCTCATGTACTCCTCAGGGACGACCGGGCGTAGCAAGGGTGTAGTTTGCACCCACCGCAATCTGGTCCATGTGGCTTCCGTGCTGAGGAGGATTTGGGGGGAAGGAAGGCAGAGCAATTATAAAGATGTCTACTTGTGCGCCGTCCCTCTGTTTCATATGTTCGGGTTTTCGGTGTTTGTGTGCGGGGCGGTGGCTGCGGGGGCGACGGTGGTGGTTATGGAGAGGTATTCCCTGGAAGGGATGTTGGAGGCGGTGGACCGGCTGGGGGTCACCAGGATTCCGGCGGTGCCGCCCATGGTCGTGCAGTTGGTGAAAAACAGGGAGCTTTCGAGGGGGTACGATTTGAGCTCCTTGACGGAGGTGATTTGCTCCGGCGCGCCACTTGCCAGGGACCATATGGAGAGGTTTGCAGAGTGCTATCCCGGCGTTGTTTTGTCTCAGGTGAGGGACGACGTTCGTTGGTTACTTTTGTTAACTTATCAATTACAAATCTAACACCTAAATTTTACCTTTTTTTTTTTTACATTTATACCACGCTCTCATATTTAAAAAAAGTGAAATATATCTTTTTCATGTTCACATGGACCTAATTAAGAGGCATTTATATATGAAAAAGATTAAAGTTTAGGTGTTATATATATAAATACGAACTTAATTAAGGGGTGTGTTTAAATTTGCCTTGTAATTTTTAAAAAGTTAGCTAAATTTTATGTAATTTATATTTATTTACTTAATAAGAGATTTGCCAAAATTATATAGAATTTTGTAGATCTAAGTATCTAATAACTAGAAAAATATTAAATCAGGACTCCTGATGTAGAGGTACATTCGGATTGGAATATCCAGCTGTGTTATGAGAATATTTCATCTGCGTTATTTATAAAAAATGAGGTATTATTTGAGTATTATAAGATGTTATTCGATTATTTTGTGGTGTTATTGGAATATCCCTTGTGTTACTTGATTCGGGACTGAAGTGTTATTGGAATATTCCCACGTGTTACTTTATTTGGGGCTGTGTCATTCCAATAACATAATTGAAATATATGTCAAATAACACAGCCCAAAATCAAGTAACATGGGGGAATTCAATAACACTTCAACCCAAAATCAAGTAACGTGATGGAATATTCTGATAATACCGCAAAATAATCGAATAACGTCATATAATACTCGAATAACACATCATTTTTACAAATAATGCAGATAGATATTCTCATAACACACCTGAATATTCCAATCCGAACGGATCTCTACATTAGTAATATTTTTCCCTAATAACTCGAGTTACTTCTTTATATTTATTTATATAATATTTTAATATTAAATTGGATAAAAATACTACTAATACTAACTTATGTTTGTTGAAACATGCATTCTTATGTTTTTATTAGTGATGTATTTTTGATATTAAGATGTTATATAAATAAAAATTAAATTTACATATTATGTAATATATA